GAAACGAAAGGGGGATGAATGGGCCTTACTGGGTGGCACTGGCTACTTTGGGGCTAGTTTATTTTTCAGAGGACAAAGGAAAGTGGCCCACTGTCTCCTGAGTGTGGCTGCAGGTCCTCCCAGGGGCCGGGGGTGGTGGTGGTCCAGATCAGCCCTTTGGAGTCTCAAAACTTGGGAGCTTGGTGACTAAAGCTACACTTTCAAGGGTGACCTTGAAGCCAGCAGGACCTTGTGGCTGGCCATGGTCCCTGGTCCCCAGAGTCAGCCTGTCAGCTCTGGTTGTTCTCAGCCTTAGACACAAGACAGGGAACTCCTCTTCTGAGCCCCAGACCTAGGGTGACCATGGGAGTGGCCTGGCAGAGCAAGGTTTTCCGAAGGAACTTAGGTCCTAGAGAGAGGAGGACACCGAGGTACTGGCCAGCTCGGGACACCTAGACCTCCTGCCAGACCCCAGGCATAGTCTCAGCAACTGTGAGCTTGTGGGGAGATGACCGTCAGGCCAGCTGGAGGGTTGGCAGAAGGGCCTCAGGCTCCCCCGCTCTCAAGGGAGCCCTCCAGGGCTCCCCCAACTCACTGCACCGAAGCAAAGCCTAGGGTGGGCCTCCAAGGCCTCCACTGTGAGTCCTGCTTCTGTGGCCAAGAGGAAGCTGGGAGGCAGCAGGAATGCAGGAATCCGGCCAGGCCCTGTCCCAACAGGCTGGTGAGAGGATCCAGGCTCCCTTGTGAGCCCATGTGCTTCTGAGCTCAGCTAGAAGCTATTCAGCCTCTGAGAGCGGCAGACACAAGAGCACATATTTATGCATGTGTATGCATGCTTGCTCACTCACATACACACATGTGCCTGTGCTGGAGGCTGGAGGCTGAGGAGCTTCCCTGCCTCAAACTGTGGATGGGGACCCCTGTGTTCACTTTCTAGTCGCGGTCATGCTAGGCCTGAAGGGAAGGTTCTGCTTGCTGACACTGCAGACCGCTTGCTGTGTACCATGCCCGCTGCACATATTAGCTCCTTTAGTCTTTAAAACTTTACAGAGGCAGCCTTTTTACCTAATTCCATAGTTGGGGAAACCGAGGCTCTGAAGGTGGCACAGAGCAAGGGAGTGGTAAGGACGAACTGGGGTTCAGAATGAGGTCTGTCTGACTACAGTCTAGTTTTACCCCAGCTTATGTGGACACAAGTGCACATGAGCACTGGCCAGGGTGTGTGCAAACTTGCGTGCAGATGTGGGCTTCGATGGTGCATTTGTATCTACCAGTGTCTTCAGGACTCCTGCAGGGAGGCTGGCAGAGAGCCGTGTGCCTGAGGACCTGTGGCTGTCTCCGAAGGCCACCCCTCACTCCTCACTGGGCTCCCGACTCAGCACAGTGAGATGGACATGTCAGTGCCACCAGCTCAGCTCCATGAGGACTGTGATTGCCTAGTGGGTGGCACAGGGCCTTGGAGGGCTTGAAGGAAGGGCATTTTGGAGGGTAGCTCTGCAGGTGTGTGGGATGATTAAGAAGGGGCAATGGGGACCGGGAATGTAGCTCAATGGTGCCTCCACCTGCCTCACAAGTGCAAGGTCCAGAGTTTGATTCCTGGTACCAAAAAAAAAGGGGGGGGCGGGCAATGGGAGGAGAGAGATTGAAGCCAGGGGCAGGGTCAGAGGACCCACTGTGCCCTGTCCAGGAGGCCTGGTACTTTCTTCTCTACCTGCATCTTTCAAGTTCAGCTCCCAATACCTAGAGAGACGCTCCAGGGAGCCTGCAGGGGGTCCTGGGCTGGGGAAGACAGGTTTGCCCTGTCTGCAAATCTATGTGCCAGGCGACCCTCACCGACCCCAGGGAGAACAGGGATGAAGAGGCCCAGGTGGGAATACTGTTTGCCCTGTGAGTCACAGCCGTTGGAGCAGGGCTGAGGCCAAAGCCTAATTTGAGTAGCTACTCTTGGCACTGCCCTAGTCCCCAGGGGTAGGGTGGATGGGACAGCAGTCGGCAGGGGTCACTCGGAGCCTTCAGAGGTGGGAAACCCCGGCACAGGCAGGGACAGGAGTCAGAGGCGGGGTTGAAACATAGACGCACACCCACTAGTGTGTGTGTGGGTGTGGGGCGTGGGGCACACTCACCTTGCTCCCACTCTCCCTAGAGAGAGTCCCAGGGACGGCCCCTTTCCCTGGGAGGGCTCTGGGTTGGTGGTTTGAGGCCCTGGTGACCCTGGAGCCTGCATGTCCCTTTGGTGAAGTTGAGGGAGCTGGCCCTGTGTGACAGTGAGGGCGGGATGGGACTTTGGGTCAGACCTAGGCAGTGACTCCGCCTGTTGAACGGGGCAGTGCGGTGCCGAGTCTTCACCCCTGGTGTGTCAGCACCCACCCTCAGTGAGTGTTTGGTGAGCACTGCCAGGCGCCGGGCCTTTTGCAAGGCAGGGGATGTGGGCATGGGCAAGTCACACATGGTGGCACTGCCTCAGGGAGCTGACCTTCCTGGGCAGGAGGGGTGAGCCACAGACCGTCCCAGTGAAAACATACTTCTTTTTGTTTCTTTGAAGTGGAAATTATGGAACAAAAATGGGCAGAAAAGGCCTTTTCTCTCTTTTGTTGCTTGTCACATGCAGGTTGAGAGCATTCCAGACCCCTCTGCTGTCTGCCGTGGAGGTCAGACCCAGCCGCTCCTCTCCTTGACTCTGAGGTCTCTCTGAGTCAGAGATAAAGTTTAGCATGGCCATGAGGCCGGGCACAGCTGGGCTCTGCTCTCCTCCCTCCCACAGGTCTCCCTTCTGCAGGGTCCTGCCTGAGGGCCTTTGCCCTTGCTCTCCCTCTGCCTGGTTTGCTCTTCCCCAGGCTGTCACATGGCTCCTTTCTTCACCTCCTTCTGGTTTATTGCTGCCCTGTCTCCTGGGAGACTTTCCTGGACCTCCCTGTGAATAGGCCCTGCGGTCAGCATTCCCCATGCTGCATCTTCTACACTACTACATTTCTTTCTGGTCTGTCTTTCCTGATGAGATGTGAGCTCTAAAAGGGTAGGGATTTGGGTAGATTTGTTCACTGTCTGGTTCCCCCCCCCCCCCCCCGCTGGGTCACGAGCACGCGTGGGACTCCGTAGGATCAATAAATGCTTGTTAAGGGAGCGCTGAGTGCGGTGTGAGGCAACCCCGTCCCTTCATGAGGGGGGTTCTTGACAGGAGGTGGTGGACCTCAGTGGTGCGGCTGTACCATGCTGGTGCTACCTGTGAGGGCAGGAGTGTTTTGTCTGTTGTATTTTTTGCTGTACTGGGGCTTGAACCCAGGGCTTTCACACTGAGCTACATCTTCATTTATTTATTTACCTACTTTTTTTTAAGTTCAGGTTGACCTGGAACTCACTATGTAGGCCAGGTTGGCCTCGAACTTGTAGCAGTTTTCTTGGCTCAGCCTCCCAAGTGCTGAGATTGCAGGTGTGCACCACCACACCCGGCTTATTTACTAACTTTTGAGACAAGGTTTTGGTAAGTTACTAAATTGCCCATGGGGCTTGAACTTGCAGTCCTCCAGTCTCAGTCTTTTAGGGTGCTGGGGTTTCGTGTGTATGTGATCACACGCGACTTCTGGCTCTGTTTTGGGTAGAAAGTAAGTGGCTATAGTGACCCCCACCCAAATCACATACCTGAGTGGGGATGTAGTGGGGTAAGTTTCCTTCCTTGAAAACACTAGAAGAATAAGAAAAGCTAGCAGAGAAGGGGCAGTGTCTGTTGATTCTGAACGCAGGGCTTTGGCAGGGGACATGTGGGTCCCCCTCTCCAGGACCTCGCATCTGCTCACCTCCTGGAGGCCCACTCGGATTGGGCCACCTTGTCAGGACAATCACCCAGTCTTTAAGCTGTTGCAAATCAAAGGAAAAACTTTTACTCTCTCCAGTTCTGCTGACCCCACGTCCAAGAACCACACCCCTCAGCCCTGCCTGGGCCCCTGGGGCTGGGTAAGGCCTCCTCTTTCAGCCTAAGGCTGGTCTTGCCTCCTGTGTTTCTAATCTAGGACATTATATCACCCTCTGCCCTTCCAGCTCCCAGTACCCCAGTTCCGAGTTCATGCCCTGAATCTCTCTGCTGTATTCTCCTTTCCGGACTGGATGCCACCTGGTGTACCCAGGAAAAATCAATGGGCATCACGCAGGCTTGGCCAAGTACAGCATAGCACGCAGCCCAGGGCAGTGATAAGGCAGCAAACAAAGAAGCACGGAAGTGAAGTAAGACAGAAATCCCTGTGGGGAACAGGAGATGGAGGGATTCTCAGTCCTTGATCCATGACCTGTTACCCATTAGAGGGGAGGACGTGTCTCTTTTTCCCCATCTGCCCTTGCTAACCATGTATGGACTGCAAACCCCCATCCTCCCACCCTTATTAAGGGACCAGGTCCACTGTACAAGGGGGAGGGAGGAACACACACAGCAGGATGTCTCCAAGGATGAGATGGCCCAATCCATATCCTATAGGAAGGAAATCTCCTAAAACACAAAGAAAAATGTGGTACTCATGACTCGGTGGAAAACTACTGGTTCCCAGCTCTCCTCAGGGAAGCCATAAAACCCAGTCCTGTTCTTTTGCTAATGGGCCAGTCTGATCTTCTCTGTCAGACTTGCACGCCCTTCACTCTCTTCCCTTCGAGCTCAAATCCATTCTCCTTTTTCTCTCCTTTCTTAAAGCTTTTTGTGAATTCATGTTGTGGCCTCAGTTTTAATTTCTGGTATCACTGAGGCAAGATTCCTTGTGTGCTGTATCAGAGACGGGTGGGGCTCCTTAGATGGACATTTAGGGAGGTCTCTGGAGGACTTGACACTGGGTCTAGACCTGAAAGGTGGGGAGCCAGATCTGAAGGTAGGGTCAGAGACTGAGGTCAATGGGCTGTGGGGAGTGCAGTGGGAGGTGAGAGGGGACTCAGCCCCAGGGGTCTCTGAGAGCCGAGGCCTGAAATTTGAGCCAAGCGTGACGGAACCAGAGTCCTAAGTTTAGAGTTGAGAAACACCACCTCTCCACCTCCCTTCCTTCCTCTAGGAGAGAGGACGGTGCGCTAGCTCGCGGGGCGCGTGCTGGTCTGGCCACTACCAGCAGAGGGCAGTAGTCGCCGCGGCACAGGCGGGCTGGAGGGAGCTGACCTTTCCTTGACGGAAGGCGCCCCGGGCAGACAGCTCCGCAAGGAAGAGGAAGGGTGAGGTCACTTCCCTTACCCTAATCGTCGGCTTTCCCCAAACTTGTGTCTGAGCCCTGCCTCTCCTGGGGAGGAGGGAGCAGGTGAAGTTGGGCCAAAAGTCAGGTCCTCTGGGCCAGGGAGGGGCCGGATTTCAGCTCCACTGGGGATGGAGGCAAGGTCCTCAAACGCAGTGTCTGCTGTTATCATTATTATCGAGCACTTACTAGGTACCAGGCTTGGCGCTAAATTCTTTTATCATGCATCATCTCTCTAAAGCTTCACAACAGATTGATGAGGCTGGGACTGCCTAGCTCGGGAGATCCGTGCCCAAGACCAGACAGCCTCAGTCCTCATCACTGCTGCCGCCGCCCAGGGACTTCATGGTGCTGACCGGAGGGTTAACAACAGAAGGTCCCCAGATGCCCCAGCCTGACAGTGATGATTCCAAGGCGGAAGAAGGGAGGGCTGTGCGGACGGCCTGGGCCTCCCTGTAGCACCCAGCACACTGCTGTGAGGACACGGCCTTCCCCAGACCAACCCAAGCAGACAACCCTTACTGCGAGTGCCTGGGAGCCCACGTGCAGCGCATCAGTGTACAACCCTGCCACCGCGGCGCCCTTCTCCCGCTAGCTGAACACCCCATTTACCTGGAGGAGACTCCTCTGGAATCTACCTCCCCTGCCCAGACCTCTCTGTCGGGACATCGTCTTGTGCCAGTGTGGTTCCTAGAACCAGCTGAGAAGTACACCTAGGAGCACAGATGGGTAGAGATCTTTGGCCTCCTCCACAGGACATGGAAGGGATCCGTATCATGCCGTGGTCAGTCTGGTTGTCCAGTGACTGACATCCTCGGAGATGAGATAAAACAGATGCACAGTTTCATCCATGGACAAAATCTCAACACTTTATTCATCCCTTGGCAGGGAGAGGGGGGCACTGCCCAGTCAGGTGGGGTGGCTGGGATATGTGTTGTCTAAATTCCAGATAGTATACACAGCACTGATCATGCAGAAACAGGAAGGGAAGCAATAAGTTAAAAGCCACATAAGTTATGAAAAAATAATATATACTTTATATATCTCATCCCACTGAGGATTTGCTCCCTTGGAAACCAATAAAGAGCCCGAGAGAAAGCAGCAATCAGCACCCTCTTTGGGGACATCAGGGATGAACAGCTGGCCCAGCTCCCTTTGGCCTGAAAGAGTTGGTGGCCCATCAGCACTGCCAAGGCCTTAGCCCACCCCGTCCTGGAAAATGAGATGGAGGGATCAGAGGCAGGCTAAAAGGGGCGAGGAGAGGGGTGGGTTGGGGAATGGGAGAGGGCGAGAGGAAGTGGCTTGAGGAGTTGAGGCTGGACCTGCCAGTTCCCCCCAGAGAGGGGAGCAGTAACACTCCTACCAACCCCAGGTCTTCCTGGTGAATTAGAAGTTTTCTCTTTGGGTGAGCCATTTTAAGGAGATCGACCGGGGCTTCCCAGCCTAATCAGGGCTCAGAAGCTCCCAGATCTGCCTGGACTGTGCCTTCCTCATGGCCCACTACAGGCAGGGGGAGTGGATATGAGGAGGAAGAAGAGAAAATGAAGTCTTTAGGGTGGGCAGCCTGGGATCCTCAGTGAATGCAGAGAGGGTGGGGCCAGGCTGTGTGGTGCAGTGCGGAGGAGAACAGGGCCCTGAGAAGTGGAAGTCAGGGAAAATGGGCTGGGGTTTCAGCACAAGGATGGGCTAGGAGTCTGGAGGGCCTAGTGCACCAAAGGCAGGTGTCGAGGCTGGGAGAGACCTGGGCTGGGGGCACAGAGCTCAGGTCCCAGGCTCTGATGAATCCCAGAAGCACAGGGAGGTGACTGTGGCTGGAGAACCTTAGGGAGGGGGAGGGGGGCTGGCTGGAGGCACCTGGTTCTGACTGTGCTCTCCTGGGCGAAGATGTCCAGGCTGATCTAAGGTCCAGGCTCAGATCTCCAGTGGCCAGGGCCCCACCTCCCCTTACTCCCTAATACTGTCAGGGGCCTGGGGAGCCCAAGGGCAGGAAAGCCAAGCCTCAGCACCAGCCTCCCCTGGAAGTCCAGACACAGCATAGAGCCCGAGTGGTCCTCCTAGCCCAGCCCAGAGCCTGGGGAGGGGCACGGGCACCAGCCCCAGTTCTGAGGCAGAGGCAAGGGAAGGCTTGAGGGAGGAGTTTAGGGCAAGCATTGGGCAAAAGAGTCGAAGCACCTTGGTGAGAGCCCTGTGTTGGAGGAAGAGCCTCAGAGGAGTGGGGAGGTGGACACAAACTGACTCCCCAAGTTCCAGTTTACCCAGCCGGTTGGAAGAGAGGACGGAGACAATGATGTTGGAGTGGAGCTGGTGACGCTTACCTCTCTCCCCGGCCATCCACAAAATAGCAGTCCCAGTTTGGAACCCCGGCTCCTCTCAGTTCTGTATCAGGCTTTGTCTCCCCTCCCAACTTGGACGTTTTGGGGTGATTTTCTGAGTCTAGCTTAAGTCCCTCCCACTGTAGTCGGAGTGTCCTGGGGCTCCTGGGCTCCTGCATTACTCTGAGGCCTCTGACTCCTGAGAGAGGTACTTCTCTGACATTTCTGTGGTTTGGATCACAGGGCCTCTGTGGTTCTTCTTCTTCCTTCTCGAGGGGGCCTTGGAGAGGCCTGGCTTGGAGGCAGCTACAGGGGACACAAGGGGTGGGGCAGGGAAGGGGCTGGAGGTTTGGGAGCCACTTAAATGATGCCTTTGAAGTCATGACCCCCTTCACCCGGTGCCCCTCCCCACTGTGGGCTCTTGGACAGGTTGACTCACCGGGTCTGGGCCAGGACTGCACAGTGCTGACCACAGTGGTGGCGGAGGGCAGGTCCATCCTGAGGGGGGGGGAAGATGGCAGAATGTGAAGGGAGCCTGTAGCTGTAGCTCCTTTGAGGTTGGGGCCCAGGGTCTGGGAAGTAGAGTGCAATTCTTGGTTGTCACTTCCAGCTCTGGGGTGGCCCTGTTGTGAGGCACTGGCTACCCAGCTCTGTCCGGCCCCTTCTTTCCTCTGTATAGATATAGCTAACATTTGCTCGTAAATGCATATAAATAGATGTGTATTTGCATGTACAATCACATTAACCTTCCTCACAACAGGTAAGCCATGTTTATGTCAGCCTACTTTCCAGAGAGGAAACTGGGAGTTTAATGAATTAGGCCAAGACCCCAGGAGATGCTGAACCAGCCTGGAATGCAGGCCTGCCGGGCCCACTGTGTCACCCTGGAGGGGAGGCTGACTTTGTGCGGGCCTGGGTCCCCAGCCCTCCCTCTGCCATCCACCCAGCCTGCCTGGCCCCGCACCTGTTCTCCTCGCCCTCCACCAGCTTGTGGTAGGTGGCGATCTCAATGTCCAGCGCCAGCTTTACGTTCATGAGCTCCTGGTATTCACGCAGCTGCCGTGCCATGTCCTGCTTGGCCTGCTGCAGGGCGGTCTCCAGCTGGGCCAGCTTGGCTTTGGCATCCTGGAAGGCCAGCTCGCCTTGCTCCTCGGCTGCCTTGATGTTCTCCTCCAGTTTCAGGCACTGCAGCCCACAAGACAGAGTGAAGAAGGTGGTGAGCAGGAAGTCTGGGGAGTGGGCTGGGGCCAGCAGTCACCTCTGTCATGGGTGGCGTGTGTGTGTGTGTGTGTGTGTATGTGTGTGTGTGTGTGTGCATGTATGGAGGCTGAGGAGTTGCACACCTGAGTTCATACTGGGTTGCAATGCAGCAAGCAGGAATTCAGTTAGACCTGACAAGACCCTTTCCTTGGCTAGAGTGAAGTCCTGCAGTCACTAAAGGAGGCTGCCCCAGCTGTGCTTCAGGGCGGCCTGGGACTTAGGCCTGTATTCCTTTCTCAGTATGGCTGGGTCAGGTAGGAGGGAGGCAGTGGACTCTGGGTGTGCATGCTGGGGGCTCCCTGCCATCCCAGCAGCTCTGGCCAGCTTACAGAGCTCATTTCTGTGCAGAGCTCACATGATCCTCCCTCATTGGCCCTCTCAGGGTCTCTCATCAGGTCTTGAGTGTGCTTAGCATGCATGAGTTAGCCCGAGTGCTCTTCTCCAGCCCCAACCCTGTGGGTCCTGCAGATACTCACGTGGCTCTTGACGGAGACAATCTGGGACCGGAGCTTCTGGATGCTCACGTTGAGGTCAGCAATCTCGCAGCGGCTGCTCTGGAGGCTGCTCCCATACTCAGCTGAGCGAGCAGCTCGCTCCTCCAGCTGCTGGGACATGGAGGAAGTCATACCCCCCCCCCCGCCTTCTTTCAGCTCCCAGCCCCATTTCTACCTCTGCAGGCCACCCCTTTGTCACCCCCCTCTTCCCTGCCAGGTCCCTCTGGATGACTTCTCTTGGCTGTCCCAGGTGAGCCCTGGTACTGATGGATGGACTCTGACCCTCAGGAGGGCATACGCTATGCCTTCCTTCTCTCTTGCTGCCCCCGGCAGGGGCTGGGCTCACACTCTGCATGCCATCTGCCCTGTCCGCCCACCCCCAGCCCTGTGCTTCCTCCTCCCCTCTCAGAGGGTCTCAGGATAGGGGAAGCTGCAAGAGACCTCAGCCATCTAGACAGCCTTTCCTGTGGCTCAGGGAGAGCTGCCCTACCCTGCACACCCAGATCCAACCTGGCTCCGAGAGTATGCCTTGGCTTCCTCCAGGCTGCGGGCCGCGATGGCGTCGTACTGGGCCTTCACTTCCTCGACGATGCCACTCAGGTCGATATGGCAGCGGTTGCCCAAGCCGACGGTCACTGACAGTTCTTTCACTTGGGCTGCCAGGTCCTTCAGCTCCTGGCCAGGCACAGGCACTGGGAGGTTAGTGCTGGTGGGGAGGGCATGAGGGCCCTCAGCCATCCCTCAGTCTCTCAGCCCCAGGGGTGGTGGAGAGGGCCACGCTGCTCTCCTCCTGTCTACCTTCGACTCTCACCCTGAGGACTCTGGCAGGCAGCTCACTGCCCTCTGCCCACCTACCGCCTCCCCTTTTTTTGTACCAGGGATCGAACTCAGGACCTTGCGCTTGCAATGCAGGTGCGGTGCCATTGAGCTCCCTCCCCAGCTTCCGCCCTTTCTGGAACAAGGTGAGGATGACAGGGAGGGCTGGCCCCAGAGGCCCATTCCATGAACCTCACCCTTGGTCCAAGTTTCACTGTCTCCCTGTGGCCCACTCCCAGGCTGGGTCCCCTCCTTCTGACGGATGGAGAAAAGGTGCAGGAGGCCACACTGGACTGGGGGAGGCAGGCCTCCGCTCCTCACTGGACGGGGGCGGGGGTCCCCAAAGGCCTGGCACAGCCATGTGCATCTCTGGGCCCCACATCAGCCTGGCAGCTCCTTAGTTTGGAACAAATGTTGGCATGGAGGAGCAGGGTGGGGCTAGAGGCTGGCAAGCTTATACCTCACTGCCCTGCCTTGTTGAAAATGGGCACAGGGCTATCTGCTCGGGACCTCTCCTGCCCCTCAGGAGCTTGCCTATCAATAAATATCTTCCTACTTAAAAAAAAATAAAAAGAGGAAATCAGTACAGGCTGTGTGAGGCTGAGGCACTGCTCTGATACTAGGTTCACCCAGGGCTCCTCTCTAGCTGCAGGTGCTTGTCCACAAATACGACGTTTTCACCTTCTCTTCCGTGTCCACAGAGCACGCTGGAAATAAACTTACTGCTTCCCTGAGGCTCACTCCAGGCTGTGTGCTCCTTGAATCCTCCCACCCCTGTGACCCTGGGCAGCAGTGTCGTGGAGACCAGAGAGTATGTGGGGTGTCCTGATAGAACCCCAGTGGCACTTCCAGTCCTGGTTTGATCTGGCATTTGATACAGTCGAGGAAAAGGCAGGGGACTGCCAGGAGATGCCTCAGTGGGGAAGAGATTGGTGAAACCTAGCTGAGGAGCAGCCTCAGACCCTTTCTGGAGAGAGGCAGACTAAGCAGGAGTGTGGAAAACAGAAACAGGAAATGGAGAGCTCAGAGCATCTGAAGACTTGTCCCGACTTGCTGCCCTTGAGGGAGCAGAGGGCATAACAATGCTCGATTGTGGCGGGGAAGGGCCACCTTGGGATGGGCCTCAGCCTCCCCAAGTTGGCAAGAATTAAGCCGAGGTACACTTCAGGCTTTCTTTGGTAGCCAGAGCCTGCTGTGTGTGACCACTCTCCTTGAGTACCCCATGGAAGTGTGGATAGGAACTCCTGTGGGGTAGCTTAGTGCTGTTTAGTAAAGTGTAAAGCTTAAGGGCCCTGGACTCTGAATACCCCCTCTTATTAGTTAGACGCCAGGGATTTAGCTCAGTAGTTCTGCCGCTTGCCTCGAAAGCGAAAGGATCTGATCCCCGGGATGAAAAACAAAAACAAAAACCTATCCTTAATAGTCAGGTAACCCTGGTCAAGTGTGCAAACCCTCTGAGCCTTAGTTTTCTCATTTGTGAAATGGGTATTATTATATAGCTGAAAACTTAATGTTTATTAAATGCTTCCTTGGTACCAGATGCTGTTCTAAGTGCTTTAAGATCTATTAAAAAAAATCCTCACAACAGCCTGGTGAAGTACTGCTATCATTCTTCTCATTTTACAGATTTTACAAATTGAGGCAGGGAGGTGTTCCTGTTCCCCTGGTTACTGAGCCCACATTCAAATCCAAGCTGTTCTCTTAATTGCTATCCTTAATTCATAGGCTTGTTGGGGAGATTAAGTAAGATTAAGTCTGGAAAGCATGTAGTACAGTTCCTGGGATGTGGTAGGTGCCCAGTACACACTGGCTAAGGACACTGGTAAAAGGAAGAGGAAGCTGGGATGAAGTGTCTCTGGCAGAACAGCCTATTTCTGGAGTGGCTTCTCTGCCTAGTCCCTGGAGTGGCCTCCTTAGCTGCTTAGACAGCCCCAGCATCTCTCTACAGGGGTCCGATCCCAGCAGGTGTGCCTAGCTGCAGGAGGTTGTCAGAAGATTCCGCAACTAATCTCCCTGAAACCGGAGCTTATGGGTGGGGCAGGCAGCATTCAAGCTGGATGCATCCAGGCCCTGCTTGTGCCAGGGAGCTGGACTGTACCTCAGAGGCTAAGGGAGGGTGAACTTGTGTCCTGGGGCAGGGAAGTACGGAGGGGTTACAGAGGAGGCTGCAGTGTACAGATGGGGTCCTGAGCAGAGCATGGCCTGGGGTCTTGCCTGGCTCTGTGGGTATACTAGCTGTGGGTGTGCATGTGTGTATTGGGGAGAGGAGGGCTGTTTCCTGGGACGCAGGACGAGCCTACACAGCAATGCTTTTCTGGCCTGATCGAAAGTTGAAACTAGAGTGTGCAGCCCTCCTGGGGCCCCTAATGTTCTGCCATGTTTTTCTTCCACTCCAGGCAGCCCTGGTGGAAGTGGGGTGTCCCCTCCCTCTGCTTAAACCTGCTCTGTCCTGGGAGGTGGACACAAGTCATAATGTGACTAGTCTAAACTGAGAAAAACTGTAAGTGTTACCACACACCTGATTTTGAAGGTTTAATATGATTAAAAGAATGTAAAATAGCCTATTGATTTTTTTTTGTATTAATCACATTGAAATAACCGTATTTTGGATGTATTGGGCTAGAAAAAAAATTACCAAAATTATTTTTTTCTGTTTCTTTAAAAAAAATGTGGCTTCTAGAAAACTTAAAATTACAAATGTGGCTTATATTATATTAGACAGTGCTGCTTAGAGATCCAGTGGTGTGGGGAATCTTTTTAGCAAAAGGCCATCTCAGCTATGGCAAGAAACACAAACTCACTTTCCAATGCCAGTTGCCACCTTGCTGCTTCTGAAAGTAACAGTAACTGCTATGCATTTGTTGCTCTGGATCCATGGGCTCTACATTGGAGGATTCAACCCACCAGGGCTGGGAAAAAAATTGTGTCTGCACTGAACTCGTACAGACTTTTTTCTTGTCATTCTTTCCTAAGATAATAAAGTGTAATAACTACTATTTACATAGCATTTACATGGTATTAGGTATGATAAATAATGTAGGGATGATTTAAAGTATATAGGAGAGCATGGTAGTACATGCCTGTAATCCTAGCTATTCTGGAGGCTAAGGCAAGAGGATCAAAAGTTTGAGCCTAGCCTGGGCAACTTAGTGAGATCCTGTCACAGAAAAAAAAAAAAGTGGGGGGGGATGAGGATGTAGTTTAGTGTGAAAGCACTAGGTTTGATCCCCAGTACTGGGAAAAAAAGTATACGGGAGGTATGCATCGGTTATATGCAAATCCTATAGCATTTTATACAAAGGATTTAAGCAGTGGAAGACTTTGGTATCTGCAGGATTCATGGATCTACTCCCCAAGGATACTGAGGGACAAGTGTAATGCACCTATAACATCACTGCTGTTCAGGCTCACAGCGATCTTCCTGCCTCAGCCTCCTGAGTGCTGGGATCACAGTCATGCTCCACCACACCTGGCTCCATAGCAGTCTTATAAGAGCACGAGCCTGACCCTGAACCACCAGGCACCCCACCCCCAGGACCCACACCATCCATCACACTTAGCTAAGGTCAAACTCTCTAAGCCCAAGACCCTTCAGCTTCTCCCTGACCCAAGACTCCTCCTGCTCTTCTGCCCTGAACATAGCGGCCTCCTTCTTTCCCTGTAGTCCCCAAGTGCAACCCTCACTTCAGGGTTTTGTACAGCTCTTCCTACTGGCCCAGACCTTCCCCATCCCTGGGCATCCTCTTGCGCCTCATTGGAAAGGCCCCTGACTAGGCCCTGAAGCTCTCCCCTCCACCCAGGACCATCAGATCACCTGAATTCTTTGCATCCTAGTGCTACTGAGCCCCCTCCTGAGTGATCTCCTTCAGACCCTTGTTTACCTGCTTGTTACCTGTCTCCTCCTGGTTAAGCCATGTCCTTCTGGACGGGGGTGGGGGTGAGAGGGACTGGTGTCTTGCTCTGGCTGGGTTAGCAGTGCCTGGCAACTGTTAGGCATGAGCCAAACGCTTGTGCAAGGAAGAAATGGGCTTGGTCTGCATCACAGGCCACATCACAGGCTGGTACCATGACTCTCCCCATTTTGCAGATGAGGAAACTGAGGCATGAGAGGAGACATAGCTTGCCCAAAGTAGCAGAAATGGTCCAAACAGAGTCCGTGGGCCTGGCTATTGGGGGAGGGGCCAAGAAGTTTTGTGGGCATGTCTCTGGCAAGGCCTGCCTGGTGTACTGGTTTCGGAGGTGGCTTCTGGCTGGTCTCCACAACTGCGGGGGCCTCATCCTGGCTTAGAGCTCAAGCTCAGAGCTTGCTGAAATTCTGAGGGAGCAGAGTGGAGCACCGCCCCATGGTGGCTGGGAGAGTTTGGGCAGGGGAACTCCTAGCCCAATTAAGCTAGCCTCTGGGCAAGGACCCCTGGAGAGCGCCCAGGGCTTGGCCTGGCTGTGGAAGGCAGTGCTGGGCAGGACATTTTTCAGGGCTGCAGGTGCGGGTGACCTGCCAGGGATGCTGCCTTCCTGCTGCTCCCAAGGCTGGCAGTGTTCTGTCTGCAAAGCCACCCCAAGGGGCACAGACAGGTCTCAGTCCCTCTGGGGCCCCCAAGAAGCTGAGCCAGCTTGTGAGGAGCGTGGCTGTGGACAGCTATGAAGTTTGGTCTCCCTTTCCATAGGACGAGGCTGTGAAGCTGGCATCTGCAGACCACAGGGTCCAAGGCAGAACTTTTTTTATTTTTTATTTTTTTGGTACCAGGGATTGAACTCGGGACCTTGCACTTTCAAGGTGGGTGGCAGCACCACTGAGCTAAATCCCGGCCCCCAAGGCAGAACTTTTTACTGTGCAGTGATTGATCTCTGCCCTGAGCTTGGCTGCATGGGCATCGAGTGGCACCAGCAGTTTTCAACACACACAATTCTGCTACTCTGAGTTAATCAGAAGACACTCGTGGAGGGGCCTGTTAGCACAAGAGCATCTCTTCTGACCCCTCACCTCTGAGACAGAATGTAGAGAGGAGGAGGCATGTCCAGCAGGGTGCCCAGAAGGTAGCAGTGGAGGGGAGGAGCAGTGTCCGGGGGCCAACAGGGGCCCGTCTGATGGCTGTGTGGGCAGCACAGCAGGCCCCGCTGGGTCACTGTCTACCCAGGTTCAGCTGAGGACTTAGGAGACAAACGAGAAGGCTCCTCCCTCTGCATTTCCTAGGTTATTTTTTTAGAAGCTAATATTGTCTGGGAACTGGACAAGCTGACTGCCAGTCTTCCCTGCTTTTGCCCAAAGCAGGGAGGGTGAGATGCTTGCCCATCAGACCTGGGGCTGTGTGTACCTATACTTTAGGTGTCGAGGATTAGCAAGATCAGTTCAGTCTGGATAGGTGTTCAGGGCCCCAGGCTGAGGCCAGCCTCCCAGTGCCTGCCCTGACGGACCTCGTCCCCTGCATGCCCTTGGCACCCCAGCACACATGAAGACACACACGGTTCTCCCTGAGAGTGGCTTTGGGGAACTGCCCGGGTCCTGTGAAATGAGTACCACTGAAGGATCCATGCCCTCAGACTTCCTTCCTTCCCCCGTCTCAGTGTCCCCTGCCCACGGAGGAGACCCTGACCCCACCTCGATTACCTGCTCATAGATGGTTTTCATCAGCTCCACGAAGCTCTGCAAGCCTTTTAATTTGGTTTCCAGTTCGGTCCGGCGAAGGCACTCAGTATCCAGATCCTGATGTTAGGAACATTAGTGAGAAATAGAGAGAGGGAATGTGGGGTCCCAGGGAAGGAGGGCAAGGGGGACCGAGAGCCTGGCGAAAGGAGCAAGAGGCGGACAGGGGCATTGCTCTGCTTGTCTGTCAGTCCTGAGATGTGAGCCTCTGAGGGCTTCGCAGGTGCATAAAGGACAGTAGGTGAGTCTGGAGGAAAGAAGGTGAAGGTGGGAGGGAGAGCCTCGGTCGGGGGCAGCCTACCTTCTTCAGCTGCACGAAGGTGAACTCCAGGTCTGTGCGCTTGGAGATCTCATCCTCATACCTGGGGAAGGGAGGTGAAGAGATGGCTCAGCTGGACATGGTGGGGGCTGGGGGTTTGGGTCATGCCCTTTGCATAGGACTCAGGGCCTCTGCTGTCCCACTCGCTCTATGCTGTGTGCCTACTAGAGAGAGTGGCTCTCCCTTTGGTGGGTGCAGTGGCCTGTCTTCAGGACGCATCCCCAACACCCTTACTTGGCTCCTGTTCTCTTGCTTCCTCTTGATGACAGCCCAGGTTTCCCCTTCCTTCCTGGGCTGCACCACCTCATCCAGGAAGCCTCCCTGACCACACAGCTCTTGCAGCCGGGCCCTGGTTCCTTCCTCATTTCTTTGCCTCCTCCCAGACAATCTCAGGTTCCAGCATACTCCCTTGGGTCCTCTGAGAGCCTCCTGTTCATACCTCCCTCTCCCACCTGCATCCTCTCCACAGCCCCACTGTTCTTCCCTGGACACCATGCCCTGTCCAGAGTGACCGTCTGTTGGCTTCCTTGTGTGTGTTGGGCCCCAGGTGCCCACCAGTGGGTGTGTGCAGAGGCTGAAAAAGTCCACCCCTGCTGCCACAGCCGGGGTCCATGGTGTGCAGTTGGCACTCCAGGGGGTGCCACAAACCTCTGCCCAGATTGGTCTCCTCCTTAGTCAAGGCCACCTTGTGTTTGCAACAAGGACACTGTTGGAGGCAGAGTGGCACCCCTGGATCCTGACCCCACCCTCTTCCTCCGGTCGGACTTTGTCTTGGCTCCATTTGTGCATTGGCTGCCCTCACACTTCCTATTCCAGCCTTTGCTGGCCTCAGGACATGGGGGTTCTGTGACTTCTGCACTTGATCTTAGCCAAAAGGCCAAGAAGTGATGGTTCTGTGACTTCTGAGTCCTTCCCTCCTCTCCAGGGAGTGCCTGGATCACTGTGGCTCTCAGTATAGCCACCACTTGCCCCAGTCCCTGCCCTCAAAGCAAGAATGGTGGCATCCACAGCCTGTGCTGCTGGCTGGACCTGCCTCAGCCCCACCGAGGAGCTGAGCGGGCGTGGACCTAAGGGCGGTCGGGGCCTGCAGGGGACATAGTCTCTGAATCTTGGGGTGTAGGTGCAGATGTGGTCCGTGGTCATGCCTTGGGTTCTAAAATCCGAGAAGGGCTCTGAGGATCCAGGTCACCAGGGCTGAAGAGAGGAGCCGACCAGGGAGAACACAATGTCCTGTCACAGATGCTGTGGGCCACCCTTGGCCCGATGCCGGGCACCCCTCTACCTGTCCTGTGACGCTCAGAGCTTCCAGCTCAGGAGGTCCTGTGAGTCCCGTTTGACAGATGAGGAAACAGTGACTTGGAGAAGGGCTAGAGGTGCCTGTGTTTTGGCCAAGCAGGGCATCAAATTCTGCTTCCTTGCTAACTAGTTGCACAGCCTTGGTGTCCTCTGTTGTGAAAATGGTCATGTTGTGAGGATTGAATGGGTTGATACATGAAGTGTTTACAGCAGGACCTGGCACCCATGGGAGCTTGCTCCTCTCCCCTGTCCTTTAGTATCTCCCCTACCCCTACCGGGGATTGAACTCAGGACCTTGCACTTGCACTCCCCGGCCCTCCTCTAGTATTCTTGGAGAGAAGCCTCAAGAACTTGGGGTGGCTGTCTGCACATCCCTCACAAATCCTCAGGGCTGGGCTGACTTGTACAAGCCTCCTCCTGGGGTCTGGGGGGCTCTGAGGAATTCCCTGTCCTGGGGACAGGGCAGGGCCTGGGGAGCCCCTAACCCTCCACGTACAGGTGGGTGGTTGAGCCCCCGCACCTCTGGGCAGTAAAGTCCTGCCAACCGGCAGATGGGAGCTGGAGATCGGAGTCTGCTGGGGGCCAGGTGCCCAGCATGCCTTCCTCCTACCCCATGCTCTTCCCACTCTATCTGCCTCCCTTCCTCCCTCCCAGGCTGAGGCCTTATCATCCTGTGTCTGACTGTCACTTGGCCCATTGAGTAATTCTGATTGCTTGGGGACCTGCTCCCTCATTTTGGATTCACCCTGTCTTCTGAAACTCTTAGGAGGAGACCTCAGGCTTTGGTTTGTGGGTGTTGAGCCCCATCAGAGCTTCTCACCCCTCAAATGTGTCCTTTGCTGGGGGAACCTGAGTTGTCACTTGCTAGTGATCCTCCAGAGCCCCAGGGAACATATGCAGGGAGTGTGGAGGGAAGTCAAGGCCCCCCAAGCCCCGCCCAGCAGAGAAGGATGCTGGGAGTTTGGGGCTGGAAGAGTCTTTTTATGGCATCCCATCCAGGCTGGGTCTGTCCTGACCCTGGCCCTCCAAGTGGGTGTGGTAAGGAGGGTACTGGCGCTGCCAAGGCCTGAACCCCAGGGGTGAGGCTCACTGCACAGCCTCCCATCTAGGGCTGGGCCCAGTGTCCCTAAGGGTACTGCTAGTCCATACTGGCCTCTGTGAGTCCCTTCCTCAAGGGGTGTGTCGCCTGCACGGTGTGATGCTCTGCTGCATCTTGGTCCCATTCTCCTCTGGGTGCTCGCTTGCCCATCACCAGCTTGCCCACGCATCTTTGGTGTACCAGAGTTACTTGCTGTGTGGGCATGGGTAAGCTGCTGCTGCTTACTGGATCTTTTGTTTTGTGCTTAGTCATAGAAGAGTTAATCTAGCCAATCCTTGGGGTCCCTGCTACTTCTAAGTCCTTAGAAATCTCTATCCCCACAGAGGCTTTAAGGGACACCTTGTTCTCCAGTTACCCCAGTCCTCTGCCAGTCTACCAGGCACCACTGAAACCCATCCTTAAGCCCCCTTCAGATTGTCACACCTGTAACCCCCTCCCCCGTAACTTGTTTATTTCTGGAGTGAGGCTGATCTCATCGCCTTGCAGAGGCAGGGCACAGCTCCTCCCTCTCAGGGCTCCACCCGAGTCTCCTGGGGCCCCAGGCTTCCCAGCTTTGGCTGGCAGACCCACAGTCTCTCCTGCCTCTACTGAGAGAGGGGAAGAGATGTTCTGATCTTAAGGCATCAAGTTAGGCTCTGGGGCTGATCGGGCCGAGACAGGAAAACTCTGAGTAGTGGTTGCACAGGACTCTAGCTACGAAAGGGCTTCCATCGGTGCAGTCTGGCTGGGCTAGTGGGAGCAGCCTTAAGCCGTGTCCTACTGAGGTTAGGACAGGTTTAGCATGCATGGCTGTGTGCCCCCAGGACAAGCCTTCCCCTCTCTGGGCCTCTGGTTTCCACAGAAGGAAGACCAAGACCCCCATTCAGCCATTCTCTGATCCTCTGAGGGCTGAAGACCTAACTAGGAACTGGTGATATGGGGTCAAGTATTCTGATAAACTGATCTGACTTTGTGGTCGGGTGTTAAGAAGCTGGGGGATTCTGAATGGGCAGTCAGACCTGTGTGTTTCCTAGGACTTGGGAGGGCAGGGTTCAGGGGAGGTGGTGGGTGAGCTGAGCTCAGAGCCCTGGATTCCCAGATAGGCTGCTTGGCGGGCTGTTCTGGAGAACGTAAGCTTCATCTACTGGCAGGACTTGGGCTGGCCTGCCCGGGAAGAGGGGAGATGAGGCTTTCATCCGTGCTCTCTCTGTCCTCTCCTTGCCATAGCTGGGCCCCTTCTCAGGGAGACCAGACCCACAAAGAGGAGCACAAGGGCATAGCCTCTCCCTTGCTCTGCCTCAGTGTCCCTGAAGCCCTGCCCACTGCCTGGCAGAGGGGGCCACTTCTTCCGTGAGCTACACAAGTGCCTATTCTACCCTTCTAGATTGGTCAATTCAGCTCAGCGAACCCATGTCAAGGACCCACTGGACACTGGAAACTTCATTCTATGAGATGGGAAGGCTGCCATTTATGAATGTCAGGCACCATGCTGGATTCCCTTCTTCCTTACCCCTACCTCCCGAAATTGATAGCAGTGAGCACCACCCCCATGTCACACAGGAGCTAGTGAGAGTGACAGTGGTGGCGGGGGCTAAACTCTCTCACAGTCCAACGCTCAGTCCTGGTCCATAGCCATTGGGCTGCTCTGCTTACATGCTGTTTGCCTGTCTGCATGTCCCACTAGGCTGTTTGCACTTTTTGCATGCGGAGGCTGTGTTTTCCTTGTCTTGTAGTTCCCAGGTTCCCTCGATGTCTGACACATGTCACCCACAGGGCTTTGCTGCTTTATTCAAATGAAACCCACCCTTTCTGTACCCTGCCTGCACTGGGTCCCTCCCTCTCCTTTCCACCCAATTGAAGTCAAAATCCAAAGCCATATTCAGAGCATAAACCTATCTGTCGTTCTAGTAATGACATAATGTCCCATGCCAGTGCAGTGTGGGGTATGAGCAAGCATGTTTACAGCACCAGAGTAGGGCCACTTGAACGAGGGTTGTGATGGTGTCCAAGAGCCAGCCATACAAGAGCCCCCACAAGACTGACTATATTGTAAGCATCACTACTAGGGGTGGGGAGGGTGGCAGCTGTAGGTGCTCTGCCAAATCCCTGGTATTTAGAATGGCACCTCAAGGAAATGTCTCAAGAAGACCAGTGCTCTATAACTTCTTCCCCTTCCTCTGGCTGGGGTGTGTCCCACCTGAGTACAGCCTGATCCCCACCCTCAGTCCCTTGACCACGCCCCCCATAGGCAGCCACCTACTTGATTCGGAACTCTTCCACCTTCTCCAGCACCTGCACCAGGTTGGCCTCGAGCTGTCCCCTCTCCTGGCTAATTTTGCGCAGTTCCTCCTGCAGCTGACCCTGGTACACCTCATAGTGGTGCCCGAGGTCGAAGGTGGCTGAGTCCTCGCCCTGCAGGAAGCTCCAGCGGGTCTCCAGCAGCTGGTTTCGCTGTTCTAGGGCTTGTACCTGGGAGAGCAGGGGGGCACTGAGTGGGTCAGGGGTGGGTGGGCTGGGGTGCCGGTGGGGAGGGCTCTGTGGGAAGTGACAGCTCATCTGTACACCTCCACCTGGGCCTCACTCTGGCACTGACAGCAGCAAACCTCCGGGGTTACTGATTATTCAAGTTGAAGATGCTGAGGTAAGGAGCAGATGGAGGTGGGGCCAATTAGCAAAGGCTTGGCGGGGTGCTAACTGAGGGAGGTGTCTAGGGTGTGACAGTGCCCACAATGGGACTGGCTGTCCAAGCCCATCTGGGGCTGGGCTGGGAGACCCCTGGCAATGTGAAGGGCCAAAAGCCCATGTGCCCCTCCCCCAACACAAGCCTGGTCTCATCTTGTTTTGGAATCTCAGCAAGGTAGGGCCTGGTTAGGACTTCAGTGCTAATTCTCTCAACAACCCTGGACTTGCAGGCTCTTTGAGCCTCAGTTTCCCCAGCTAGAAATTGGGGATGATGTCATCTGCCTGTCTTTAGGGCTGTAGGGGGCAGACCCTGCCAATGTGCTTGGAACAGTAATAACAGCCCATGCTTGTGTGGCACCTACTGTGTGCCAGGCCTGTTTCTGAATGCTTGTCATCTTTAACTCATTAGATGGTTGCTTGCAACAGCCCACAGCATGAGTATTATCAACACATTTTACAGATGAGGGAAATAGGCACAGAGAAGCGAAAGAATTGCCCAGCGTCATGAAATTAGCAAGTGGCAGAGCCAGGTGTGGAATCCAGGCAGTTTGCACTGAGAATTTCTTAACCATAACAGCACATGTCCCCAAGGTGTTTCTTGGGTCACTTGGGCCCAGAGACCTCAGCTGCCCTTCTTGAGCCGGTTTCTGCCTCCAGCTCCGGCCAGGTTTGCCTTAAGGATGAAGACCCATGGGCTCTAATCCCTGTGGCTCCTCTCAGGCTCTGCCAACCGCATGCCTCACTCTGAGGCTTCCACCAGGGCTCCTATGGCCCATGGACCACAATCTGCACAACAACAGGCTGTCAGGATTCCTCTTAGGTCCCTTCTTCCCTCCTCTAGTCCAGTCCAATGTGACCTGGGCCTGTCTGGCCCATCCAGCCTCCAGCCTGTCTTGGCCATTGTCTTTCCCTCCATGCCCAGCCTTACCTGCCTCTCCTCCTCCCCATGTGTGCCACAGCAAGCCTCCTGCAGAAAGCCCTCCATGATTCAACTTGAAAAAGTCCTCCTTCCCTCCAGCATCAAGGCCCTCAGTCCATCAGCTTCTCATTTGTCCTGGCCACCACCCTCCCTCCAGGCAGATTGGGAACTACCTGCTCCCTTTCTGGGGTCCCTACTCATGGAGTCCAGGACATGGAGAGGCCATTGAGGCATGGCTGGCCCTGCTCCTGGGCGTTGGGCTGTTTTTGTCATGAGGATGCAGCGATCAGTCCTGTGATGCTCCCTATGACCACAGGCATATGATCTGGAGCTGGAGTGGGAACCAGGACCATAGCCTGAGAGCTGCCAGCAGCCCTGTGGCTCAGCTGCTCCGTACTTTTTATTTACCGGGGGGCTTATGGAGACTGTGGGGTAGGGAGTCAGGTGACTTGTGCAGGGCCACTCGGCACCCGGTGGCCAAGCTTCCCAGACAGGCCTCCCTGATGGATGTTGCCCAGCCTGGACTATCACCAGCCCCTCTCCCTCCTCTCTTACTGTCCTATCTACACCCCAGGTTTTCCTTTGTCTCCTGAGACCCTCTTATGACCTTGGGAAGCCTCCTTTAACAATCATAGTAGACGAGGCCAGTAGGTGTGCTAGTTAGTGGCATTTGACAATGACATTTGTAGGCTGTCATTTCTCTAGTCACCTCCCATCTGCACTGGTAAGTTCTTGAAGCTGCCTTAAGCCTGCCACCCACTGGAGTCACAGCCAAACAGGTTCAGTGGGGATGGAGGTCAAGAGGGTGTCTGCCTGCTTTGTGTGTGTGAGAGGGAGCATTGTGGGGGGAGGCATTTGCTCACCCCACCTTCTCTCCGTTTTGACAAGTAGGACTCCTGTGTTTACACTAAGGGTGGGGTGACAGGAGAACTATGAGATTTCTTCCTCCACCCATGAGCAATAGAGAAACCTTCACACCAGGAAGTTCTTCCCTTAGTCTAACCTCAAGGCTCTATGCTCCAGTGCTAGTTGGTTTGGGGGAGTCAGGGGGAGCCCTGTCTCCTCTCCATTGCAGAAGTCTCTTGCCTCAATGGGCGGAGATGGAAACTCATCCCTCAGCCTGGATTTTCCTTGCAGACTGGCTCTTTTCTTTGAAATAAGGGTCCAGCAGCCCTTGAAGTGCCAAGTTGAATCAACAGCCAACCCATCAAGGCCTCCAGCCCTCCTCTCTGCTCTGGCTGGTCCCCATTCTGAGATCATGAAGTGGCAGCTCTAGGAGGGGTCTATCTGCCTGTCTATTTTACAGATGAGGAAACTGAGGTCCAGAATTCAATGTGGCCCAACTCCATGGTTCTAGACTAGGCCTTGGGTAGAGGGTATGGGGAGAGATATGTTTTTTTTGAGAGAATATGAACAGCCTAAGCTGGAGCTGCTGGCTGGAGTTGGGGAGCATGTTGCGGGAGATGGCTGAGGCCTTGGAGGCTCTGCTCCCCGAGTCTGCCAGGCAGTCTGCTGGGCCAGGCAGGCCTCAGTCAGATCAGCTGCCTTCAGCAAGGGCCATAGTCCCTTGGTCAGGAAGGCCGGTCTGTGTCCTTCTGCATCCAGCAGACGGATAATTCCCAAGTCACTCAGCCTAGGGGAAGACGAGGTCCCCATCCCTGTCTCTGGACATTTGGCTGCTGCTCTTTGGGGTGGGGTTCCCCCCTCTGCAGCCTCCTCAGGCTGACCCCAGAAGTCCTTCCTCTTGCCCACCCTCATTGCCTCTGCTGTCTGCAGGTGGTGACAGGCCCGGCCGGCAGCCCCTGGGCCAAGGGCACTGCCTTCCTCACCCCCTGCCCTCCTGCTGCCACTCCTCAGCCTTCATCTCATGACCATGGCCTTGCCAGTCTCCCTGAGCAGGAACTCGGGGCCCCACGGACTCTGAGGCACAGGGAGGGGAAGCGGCTCACCCAAGGAAACATAGCCAATAAGTAGGAGAAACAGCACAGCTCCTGGGCCTCTCTGCCAGCTCCTGGAAGTGCCCTTCCCTTCCTTCCCTTCCTCCTGGTCTCTCTCCTGCCTTATAGGGCCTAGAAATGAGTGTGTGGCGGGGTAACCCTGCCTTCCTTTCTGCCCAATGCTCCCACCCTGTACTGCATATTGTCCTGGGCCTCCTATCTTTGTCCAGCTCCACACAGGCCCAAGTTACTTTATTTTTCATTTACCAGCTATTAAACATGTATCATGCACTAGGTGTGTTCTAATTGCTTTTCTAAAATCATCCCATTTAATTGATGAGCCCATTATATCAATGTGCACTGAGGCACAGAGAGGTCAAGTCATTGGCCTGAGATTGCACAGCCGGCTAATGGTAGAACCAGGATTAAATCTACTGATGGTGTTCCAGATTTCACTCTCGGAGCCACTGCCTGCTTTCACTTCTCACCAGGAGACAGGGCTTGTTGAGGTGGAGAACAGAGCAATCAGGGCCCCCAAAGTGCTGACATCCCCTGGCTTCCTGCATCCCACCACAAAGGGAACCCCATTGAAGGCCAAGTTTGAGGGTTGGAAGCTCTAATTCTACTAAAAACCTTCACTGGCCCAGGGCACAGGACCCAAACCTTGAGGGGCCCCTCCCTGTACCTACACCCACCTGTTCCCACCCTGTCCCCACACAGAGGCACACAGTGACATCAGCACTTGCATTCAAGGGAAAAAAGCCACCAATCGGAGCCAAATTACACAGCTGAGTGCAGCCTTCCTTTTAAGGGATTAAGCCGGGGATGGTGAGGAGGCACCTGGCAGGGCCCTGCCTCCCCAGGGCAAACCTACCCAGCAATGGGCTGAGCAGAAGGCTGTGGGAAGAGATGTTCTGGGCCCCTCACGTGCGCACAGGAAGCTGGTCCAGACATGTGAATTGTCCTCACCTCTGGGGACACAGGTTTTGTGCTTCTTAGACCTGAGTTCAAATCCAAACTGTACCATATGCTGGTGTGTGGCCTTGGGCAAGGTGCTTAACCTCCTTGGTCCTCAGTTTCCTCATCTACACAGGTGGGGTAATACTAGCCAGTGCAGCGTTGCTGTGGAGACCAAATCACATGCCCGCTGCCAAGTTTCTGCCGAGGGGCCCTCCGAATAGGCACAGAGTGGGGGGCCTCAGGCCCATAGATACAGACAGCCGCTTCACATTCATTACTCTTTCCCCTTCCCCTCTCTGTGAGCTCTCATCCCCTGGGGCAACCAGCAACATGAAGAGAAGACCAAGGAGCAGAGTTAGGGGCAGGAGACTGGACCTGCAATATGTAAAGCAACCAGCACAGGGCCTGGCATACAGTAAACAATTGGCTGCTATGATGATTACTCTTACAGGGGCTATTCTTGGGCAGGACAGGAGGGAGTGGACTGGGAGGCCTGAGAGGAGGTTTCTCAGAGGTGTGAGCAAGGAGCAGGTTTGGGAGGCGGACCGAACTCCACTGGAAGCTCCCTTGCCTGAGGGTAGAGATGGATGCCAGTGCCCCAGACCAGCTGTAGGCCATGGGCAGTGGAGTCAAGGAAGTGTGGGGGCTGTGGGCACCAGGGACTTGCTCCCTCTGCTCAGGTGGAGTACAGAGGGCTGCACGGTTCCAATTCTGGGCATCTGTCCCCGGCATTCCTGTCTCCTGACACGCTAAAGCTGCACCGATCCACAGCTCGCCACTGCCTGGGCAGCAGCCCTATGCCCTCGGCCCTGCCAGCTCTCCTGATGAGAAGCTAAGCAGGGGTGCTTGACAGAGATGCTGTGGGGCCAGAGGCTTGTGGGATGGACGGGGAACCTTGGGTGTTCATCTGCACCGTCCACCTGCCCTGGAGGAGGTCTGAGGACCACTCCTCCACAAGCTACTCTGGGGGAGGCATTCCTTGGGCCACGCTCAATGTCTTCCTAGCTTACTGTGGGGACAGGGTGAGCCCAGCCTTGTGACATGACCCTCAGAGGCCATTCCTGGCGTCCCTTTCTTCCCCAACACCAGGAAGGATCAGAACTTCCTTCTCCATCTCTCTGCTCAGAGTCAGCCTGCTCAAGAAGCCATTCTGCCACCCCATTGGCTGGTGGCAGGGGTGGAGCTTGGTGACCAATGCCCAGGGAAACACAGAGCTCATCCCCCTGCCCAAGTCTGGGAGCCCTCTGTTTTGGTCCCCCTCCTCCATCCACTTCTGCTCACCTTGCTGATCAGGGAGGCAAATTTATCATTGAGGACCTTCATCTCTTCCTTCTCCTGGCTCTTCTGCTGCTGGACAGCTGGGTCCACCTTGAGGTCCAGGGGTACCAGCAGGCTGGGGTTCACGGTCACCTTGGGGATGGTGCTGGCCGGCCAGCAGCTTGTGAGGCTTCGGGCGCTGAAGCCTGGTCTGGGGGCCCTGAAGCTGCTCCATCCAGAGGTCCCAGGCCGGGGGCTGCCCAGCGGGGTCACCTTACAGCCACTGAGGCTGCTGAAGCCAACGACACAGGATTGGCAGGCCATGATGGCCCCTACCCCCGGCCTGGGAGCGGGAGGGCCCAGGGGCTGGATGAGCAGGCGAACAAGTGAGCCTTGAAGAGGAGGTGAGTGGCAGGCGGCTGCCTCCTGTCGCAGCCAGAGCAAGCTGGGGACTGAGGTGCAGACACCTGTCACATAGTGCTCATTAGCTGCAGGAGGGTGGGACGCCTCCCAGCCCGACCAACCTGTTAGATGATGCGATGCTCCTGCCCCTCCCCCAGCACCTCGCAGTGGGTCTCCTCCCCAGCAGGGGCTCTGCCTTGCAGGAGGGCTGGTCACAGGCCCCCCACTAAGCTAGGCCTGGCTTGGGGAGGGGACAGGGCTGGGCTGTCTGGATGGTTTGGGGGTGGGAGTCGGCAAGAAGAAGGCAGATTTAATAAGGAAGGAGAGAGGAGAGAGAAGTCTGTCACTGCAGAGCTCCTGCATACCTGAAGGCTGACGTAGCTGGGCCCACATAGTTCTGGAAAGATGAGGCAAGCGCAGCCCTGAGCTCTGATGGCGGGGCAGCAGTCCTGGGCACTGCGCCAGACTGGCACTGGGAAACAGCATTTTTATTGTTTGTATTCTAGCTTCCAAAGAGTCTCCCTGGCTTAGCTTCCCTTTCTTGACTGCCTTTGCTCACTGTTGAGGACCTGCTGTGTGCACACCACTGTCTCAGGGCTGAAGGAGGCTGGGTTCGAGACTCAGCTTGGTGGCCTGCCACTGCTGTGAGCTTGGGCAGGTTACTAGACCTTTGTCCTTATGTGTGAAGTGGGGGTGAACACATGGGTTGCCTAGGCAAAGTCCTTAGCAGAGGGCCTGTGAAGTCACCAGCTTCAGCCTGGTGCTCTGGCCTTCCCCCTGAGCTGGCACTCGTCAAGCTCAGCTCCTTCTGGGGCTTTGAGAAGGTTCCGGTCTTCCCATTCCTCCTCCCTTGCTTCCCTAGCCCCATTCACCTCTTTCATGTTGCATATGCAGTAGAACTAGAAGGCCCATGTGGCACCCATAGAGCCTCTGTGGAGCAGTAGAAGCTCTTACCAGCCGGAGCCGTGCCTCTCACCCTCCTCAGTTCCTGAGTCCCCGCTCCTCCACCTCCAGGGAATTGCCATCTCTCCTGCCAGCCTCTTCCTTCCTCTCTGGCCTGGTGGCCCCAGGGGCCTGCTCTGTGCATCTTCCCTCTACTGGGACACCACCCTCGAGCAGAGAGAGGCTGAGATAGTCAGGGATGGAAGGGGTCTCAGCCCTCGCTAGAGCCTGAGGAAGACCGGAGTCCTGAGAGGGGGCTGCTTGCTGAGCCACATCACCCATCCTGGGCCTCAGTCCAGAGCTCTTGCCCTGATGTGGGCACCGGATCACCAGGAGTCAGGACTCTGCCCTGAAACCACAGGTCTGTCCTAATCTCGGATCCCAGGATCTGTGGCTGGGATGGCTTGGCAAGGCACTTCCAGGCGACTGGCTCGCTGTGACGGTGTCTTTAAAAAAAACGTTTATTTTTATGTTTGCAGTACACAATGATGACAGGCCTCGTGGGGAGTGGGCACACGTACATAACTCATCTTCATTCTTTGTCCCCTTCGCCGCCCCTCCCGCCATCTCTTGGGCCCCTCTGCATCTGCGAAAGATCTGTCTCCCTGTGTGGCGGTGTCTGCCTCCGCTTGGCCGCAGGTGCCCTCCCCCACTCAGCATCAGCGAGCGCAGTCACCCCAGCTTTCCATCACCTTGGGCCTGGCCTGGCATCCCAGTGGCATGTGGTCAAACATAACACCGTACCCTCCCCTACCCCATCACCCTTGCGTGGTTCACCGGGAAGGGAGGGGGCAGGCAATGGTATCTGGGCTCTGTCAGTGCCAAGACAACCACCTGGATGCCAGGCGTGACTTCAGTGCTCCCTCTGTGCTCACCAGGACCGCTGTTTGGGGGAGAAGCTTGAACTCACCACCCCCAAGTACAGAAGAGGAGCCTGGGGGGGTTGTGCCTGGGGGGGTTGTGCCTGGGTGTACAAGTTGTCAGTGATGTACAAATTGTCAGCCTTGCATTGGCTGCGGGCAGCTGGAGTAGAAACTCTAACTCTTACCTTACCCTGAGTTCTGGGCCCCCTGGAAGGGCAGAAAACAGGAAAGGAGGCTGCTGCTTCTAGCTGTGAGCCCTTCAGAGCCATCTCTCTGCCTGACTCTCTCAGCTCTCATAAGCGCCTCTTCACAGCCCAAATCTGCTGTTGCTCTCTGGCTTCTGCTGCTCAGTCAGCCCTGAGCATGGCCAAGTCACAGTTAATTACTAAGTCTGTGACTTCTAGGCTGGCATTTTGGGGTTTGTCTCAGGCTGGGGTACCATGTGGCTTTCCTTGGGGATGTCCTTGTCTCCCTGAACAAATGGAGGGCATCCTTGCCCGGGCTGGGACCTTGGGGCCTGCTTGCTGTTTCCTCTCTGGCCTGCAGTTTACAGAGTGTCTTTGGCCAGCACAGTACTGGCTGCCGAACAGGAATGGCAGCAAAAAAGCCCCAAACAAACAAAACTCCACAGAACTGCCCAGCCCTGCCTCCTTCTCCCTCTCCTTATTTGCCTTTTGTCCCTTTCCCTGTCCTAGCTCCACCCATGACTCTCTCCACCTCTTGGGGGTCATCTGATCCAGGCCACTGACTCTGACCAGGGCTCCTTTCCCCTAGCCAGGAGGATCCCTACCCTCACTGAGCACTGGATGAGACCTTCTCCCGGCCTCGGTAAGGAGCCTGGTCCTCCCAGGGGCTCTGTGCCCCATACAGGCTGGAGGCCTGCTGAGAGCTGGGAGCAGGGAGACGGAGGTGGGACATGGCGGCCTTTCTGGGGGTGTTTAGGTACCTGCGTAGTCTCCAGATCCCTCTGGGTGCCCTAACAGAGCTTGGGGCTTCAGCTGGGGATGAGCTTGGGTAACTCCACCTGCAGGTGCAGTGTGCATCTTGTGGGACCCTGGAGGCCTGTCCTTGTTGGTCCTTACCTGGTTCAGGGACAGGAATCTCAGACTCTCCTCCCTGTCTCCCCAAGTCTACCCTTGCTGCTCCAGGTACCCTGTAACTTGTGACAGCACACAGTTCTGCTTACCCGGGAGGCAGAGTGGGGTGGCCAGAGGCCAGGAGTGGGAGGAGGCTCGAGTGCTCAGATTCTCCGAGGGAGGCTCTTTTGTATTCTCCTTCTCCTGCCTCCCATGGCTTCCTCCATGTTACTCCTTCGGACCCCTGGCCCGTCTCTCGCTCCCTCTCATCCGCTGTGTTCTCCGTCTCCATCTCCCTCTCTTCCCTGTGTTTTCTGCTATCTGCGTTGCCTCCTTCTTTCCTCCTGCCTGCCTGTCCCACTCAGTCTCTTGCCAGCTCAAACTTCTGGCTGGGCTCCTCCATCCCTCAAGCCCGGGGAGGAGAGGCGTCTGGTTCACCTTCTGACAGACCAGCCGCACGGCCTTATGGGAATGGCATTCCTGGGCCATAGTTTCAGTGCCTCCTCTTTGCTCTGCTCCCCATTTGACCTGAGGCCTGGCCTGTGGAGTAAGGCCTCATAACTCAGAACAGCCAGACATACTTGCTGCATGAACGTTCCAGTGAGCGCACGCCAGCCTGGCTCAGGCTAGGGGGCTTGGGGAGCCAGGGAAGGGTGTGGGATCTTCAGGGCAGACCCTTAGCCTCACTGCAGGGCATGGTGGGAAGGAGGGCTGCTCCTCCGGATGAGTCAGCTTGGCTGCTGTCCGTCTTTCCTTCTTTCTCCCACGTGTGTCTGTATATTCACACCTGTGGTCATTACCTGGGTCAGTGTCCTCTCTCTGCTGAGGCTGGGAATTCCTGGCCTCCTTTCTCTGGCTTTCCCTGTGACTGGGTGCCCCAAGGCCAAAGAAGGGAAGCCCTGTCCTGGGCCCAGTCCTGGCAATGGGCCCTGAGGGGCTTTGAGTGACCTGTGGTTATGTAATAAGAATTTCTGAGGGCTCCAGAGCTGGACCCTGGAGGAAGAGGAGGATTCATCCAGGCAGGGGAGGGGGAAGGTGTTCCAAGGTGGGGTGGCATCATGAGCTGTGAAGTGAGAAACTGTGTGGGATGGTGACAGTGATGAGAGCTGGAATTACTGGAGTGTCAGAAGTGCTCAGAGGAGCTGTGGCTTCCTTGGAAGCTCATGGGAGCTGCAATCAAAACGTTTCATTACCTGGTAGAGTCCTTTAGTGGCTCTCTGCGGATTTGGAGATAGACTTGTTGTGATGTAAAGCAAGATCTTTTGTACCTGCTGCCCTCTTCTGTTCCTGGCCCCAGCTCCTCCCTGCCCTTCTCTCTCTCTGAGGCCCCTTTCCATCTTCTCCAGCCCCGACGAACAGCCCTGTGTTCCTGGAGAGGGCAGGGGTGCCTCGTGTCTGTGCAGGTGGTGCAAACAGAAAAATGTCATCTCACATACAATTTTATTGGACAGCACTGGTCTGCAAAGCAGGCAACTGAGATGGCTGGGATACTGCAGATTACTGGAGCCTGGGACCTGGTTCGAGACTGGCTGAGGGATGGCAGGGGGTAGTGGCAGGAGCCCTGGACCTTCTGCTAGGAGACCTAGTTTCTCCTGATTTCTCTCTGTGGTTCTACCACTCATCAGTTGTGTGGTTTGGGGTCAAATGCTTGGCCTCTCTGGATCGGAAGGGCCCGTACAATTAGGTTATATTGGATGATCATTTTTTTCCAGTTTCATTTAATAAATGCTCAAACCATTGTCACCCCCCTTGCTATGCCAGGCACTTGACCATGAAGCATGCTGTGGAGCTCAGGCGGCTGTTGCTCTGTAATGAGGGCAGCCTCAAGGGCCGGGGGAGGAAGCACAGGCTAATTACACTTTCCTGTCTTCAGAGCACTTAGTCCAATTTGTAATTATTTATTGTTGGTTGTTGACGTGTTTGGCTCTGCCTCCCTGGCCAAGGGCAGTTAGCACAGGGACAGTGCAGGGGTCTGTTCCCTCTGTGTCCCAGGGCTGACCCAGTGCCTGGTGCATAGTTGGTGCCTTTCCAGGATAGGTAAAAGGCCACCTCCTGCACGGGGCATTTGTTCTACTGTATTGTGACAGAGGGTACCCCACAAGAGCTTTGGGATGCTGTGGATTGTAGACCCCAGATGGGCTGGGGAAGAGTCCAGTGTGGGACGTCCTGTCTCGGGGGCCAGCCCTGAAGCATGCCCCACAGGACCTGGCTGCCTCTTTTCCAGATGGAGCTGGGCTGACCAGGTTGACCTGGGTCCTCCACTCAGCTCCCAGAGGCCTGCTTCCTACTCCTTCAGTTTCCTGATCAGTGTCCAATGGGACACTGACTCCTGTCACAGCCAATACCTTGAAGGGTGACAAGAGTAGACTGCCCTTGCAAAAGAAAGAAAGAGGAAGTCTCCTCAATCTGG